ATATAGGGGGTATAAGGTACCGGTGAGGCTCTCAGAAATGTATCCAGGCTCCCCTAACATATGCTGGAGATGTGGGGCACATGGAGGTACGATGGGACATATATGGTCGTCATGTAATAAACTAACACTGTTTTGGGCAATGCTGGAAAAAGAGGCAGGGAAGTTGATAGGTAGGAAGTGGCCTAGAACAATGCGTGCTCTTTATGATTCCCACAACAACAGACAAAGTAGAGGAAAGACTGCTTTTCCACCTGCTAATATCTGCAATGACACTCTTAGCCAGAGCCTGGAAATCCAACCAGGTACCGACCAAAGAAACCCTAATAAACCAAACTTCTACCAACTGGAAATACGAACTAATAACCTTTAGACACTTTAAACCATAGAAATACGCTAAAAAAAGCAGGGAAAAGATGGATGGAATGAACAGAACAGGCAGATGAAAACCAGAATACAAAAGCCTATGACCAAACTTAGAATAGAGCCCAGAGGGGAAAGCCAGTACAAGATCAACGATGGGCTAGTTAAGCTACCATAGCACTGAGCCAGAAATGATCATATAACTAATAAACAGTTCAACCCGAGTTGTAGACAGCAAGTTCAGTAGCCAGATTAAACAACCACTAACTAAAGATCTAGGAACTAGCAGAGGGTAGACAGCAAATAAAGTGTTTATTGTTGACTGCTTAAAGGATAACAATAATGGTCATTGTGAAATCCCTATGTTGTAAACTAATGTTCCTGCAATACTCCCTTTTCTTTTCTGTACCCGGGCGAGCAGGCGCCGCAAATTGAACATGACACAATAAAATATTTGTCAAATTAAAAAAAAAAAAAAAGAAAAAGGTAGCAAAAGAGGAGGAGATCATGCTTAAATAACATTAAAAATTTAACTTTCTTAAATTTTTAGTCATATAGCAAGAAAAAGAAAACAATGTAGATCTAAGTAGAAAATGCCTAAGGCTTCCTTGGAATGAAAAAACACATATGTATTAAATAAAAAAAATGTTATTTCCTTAAAAGGAGAACAACTTGATTGAATAAGTGCCTCTCTAGTCTCTAAATTGAACTAGGGAGAGCATATTTTAGGCAATATGTCCCTAATTAGATTCTATTTACTGTCTTTTAGCCCAAGTAACAAGATGAACTGCACTCTTATGCAGTAGTGTAGCTTAGTTCATAATAAGAAAAATATCTTGGTCTAACAACATATGAAAGCTGTATTAGGCAATGAACTAATTCCCCAAAAGTATAGACTAAAGAGCTAGCACTATATGCCACTAAAACCCAGACTAAATAAATCTGTTAGGAATAATTGGCCATAACATCAATACAAACTAGATACACAAGTCAAAGTGTTACAATTGTAACCAAGGTAAGTAGCAAAGGGGTAGTGAACCAGTTGCTGAAAAGTGTAACAAAAGCAATTAAACATAGCCAGGAGTACGGTGTAATGAACACAGGACTAAAAGACCACTATAGACACCCAGACCACTTCAGCTTAATGAGGTGGTCTGGGTGCCAGGTCCATCTAGGTTTAACCCTGCCTGCTATAAACATCTATGTTTACTTTAGGGTTAATCCAGCCTCTAGTGGCGGTCTCATTGACAGCCGCTAGAGGCGCTTCCGTGCTTCTCACAGTGATTTTCTAGATGGGTTCATGAAATCCCATCATTATAAAACTATATTACTTGGCTCCATCATAAATACTCTACATTCATTCATATTTAGAGATGCCCCATCTGCAATAGGGAGCCAGGTGAGCGGGGTATCCATCTGTAAGTTCATCTTTGGTCATTAGTATGTCATTGTAAGCTTTATCAAGGATGGAAGCAAAGAAGAGGTATGTGCCGCTACCCCAAATAATGGAAAAATAAAAAATAAATTCAATTTGTGGATACAAACTAATTAGAAGGAGTATACAAAATGTCATAAATGCAACAGTAAACAAATTACTCACTCTACCATGGCAGTAAATGTGCTCCAAGTTCTTGGTGCCGGCAGCAATATTCCTCCAATTCCTAAAATTCTTACAAAAAAAATAGCAATACCACACTGAAAAGAGAGGAGGGGGGTTACAAAAAAAGTAAACAAACTAAATGAAACTAGTAGTGACGTAAAACGTGCTCAATTCCCAGTTTAATTTAGCTTGTTTTGTTTTTTTTTTGCTATCCCCTCTTCCCCCCGCCCCATCTTTTTTAGTGCACAGAGCAGAGATGTGTTAGCTACAACTCCTATTTCACTGCTGCTTATTATGGTGGGCATGCCATGCTCAAAATATTTACAACCAACAGCAGATTTGGGGATACGGCTGAGTTAATCTAAAACAAAAGGAAATAAACAAAAAATAGTGCAATACAGTAAACATTTGGTATATCATGCGCCACATGAAATGCACTCACAGGATGTTGGCAAACACAGCGCTCATAAGGTGCCTCCCCCAAAGTAGCTGGGGGGCTAGTAATCCCACTCTCCACTCCACAGTCACTGGTTGGTAAAACAGGACTCCAGGAAGGTGAAGGTATAAAAAGGATTATTTGTTAAAGGTGAAACAGTCACCATAAACGCTAAAATGAACGTAAGGATAAAAAGAAACTGTCCAACGCATTTCGTTCCTGAGCGGAACTTCCTCAGGGACCACAATAATACAAAAGAGAGTATTACAAATACAATCAATAGTAGCTCAAAATATTGTAATAAATCTGCACTAAAATAATACTCGTTGTCCAGATATCTCTTCTTTTTATTCCATTAAGTCCTTTTGAGTGCGGCATTGTTATTTTATTTTTTTTCTGAGAATTTTCAACAAGGCACTTGAATTCGCTGTTGGGTTGTGGGTAACTATTATATAAATATTATGGTCTTTTAAAATGTTTGTATCATATAGAAAAAGACACTTACTTGTAATTGAATGCAAAATATGCACTGCCTGTTCTATTCAGCAATTGAGAGTTCCTCAAAAAAAAAAGGATGTACAAAACTGGAATTAAATGTATGTGTTGAAAGCACAATCCTGCAAGAGAGAATACACAAAAGATATAAAACTCAACATGTGCATTATTGTTGCTAATTGTGGTTATTGAGAAAAGTCTCCTATTAAGATTGTAACATTGATAAATTGTGATATCTGATTTTGGAGTTAAAGCAATGAAAAGTTTGATTTAAAAATTCCTGAGAGAGAGCTTCTCCTTGTTTGGTATAATATAGATATAGATATAGAGAGAGAGAGAGCGCACGCACAATTTGGCGAGTTTGATGGAGCTTAATAGAAGGAAAAAAATCACAAAAATTAAAATATTACTTTTGGGATTATCCCATTATGTTTAATTCATATAATCTTCAATTAGTTCTCTTAAACACATAACATCTGAATATGCCAAGGATTTAAGGTGACAGAACAACAAGACATGAAGCAGTCAAATACTCCTCCCATGCTATTGATCAACATTCCCTGAATGATGCCATGGTCTCTTCCTGAAACCATCCATTTCCACTGCAGCTACATTCACTAACACTGACACAATGAGTGGTAAGCCTGGTGTACACTAACTGATAAAGCCGATGTCACTGTAGTGACATGTTTTATAATTACAAGAGCCATAACACACACTTCTAAGTTACTGCTGTCAATGTACTTTCCTTTTCTTAAAGACAGAGACAGGCACATAAAAAATAAAATTGAAAAAAAGTTAGTCAATTGAAACAAGACAAAGGACACTAACAGGATTACCCACCAAACACTGAGTGTTAACGAATTGAATTAAAATGGCAAAAGCGAAAGGTTAAAATAGTCCAATCTTCCCAACTCTGCTACTTGAGCTAATGAAAAAGCACTAGCCTGGCAAGTAATGCGTGGTGGTAATTGGCTGGTGGTGTAAGCTGACCACTTTCAGTCTATCATGGCAGCCCCCACCCACCCCCCGAGTCACCCAACAACCTGGAAGTCCCTCAAGTGGCTATCTTGTAGACAGTCACAAGAGGTGGAGTTAAACCCTCAAAAGTAATTATCCATATTTACCTTTGCAGGGTTAAGGGACCTGGGACTATGAAACAAGACCACTTCAATAAAGTGGTCTGGATGCCTATAGTGTCCCTTTACTGTTGCCAAACCCAAACAAGTTGCACCTGGGACTACACTTTTGAAGCCCCGCAATCCCTCCCCCTTGGACCAGTGGGGGAGATCCCGGTCCCCGCTGAAGAAAAATACTCACCAGCAGCAGTAGAATCAAAAGCTGAGTGGCGCATCGCACATGGCGCCCAAGATAGCCCCCATGATGCAACCTCCACAGTACCCTGAGGTCCTGCAATGAAGACAGTGCTTTGAGGCCAAATTCGACAAAATATGTCAAGACTTCTAGAGGTGCATACAAGCCAGACCCCAACACCCGGCTCCACCTGCCACACTTGAGAACAAGGAGGAGACAACGACTCCCAGTCCCAGCTCTGAGCAGAATGATCACCCAGGCATACAGCAGTCTTGCCGCCTAGATGATCGGAGAGCCCCCCCCCGGCGGCATTCTGCCTTGTCGATGGAACTACAGGCACCACCAGGCAGCCGAGCATACTGCATCACACTACCACCAAACACCCACCTTATCAACTCGCCGCTGCCTTCCTGCACGGCGCAAGGGAGGGCGCCGAGTCCCCAGTCACAAGCCGCCCCACCACATGGCTCACAGCCGGCAACACCGGCCACAGGCACTGAGCCCTGTTCAGATCACTGGACTGTTATTTCTTCATCGTTGCAGATCAGGAGCGCACAGACACTTGGGGCTGGTGGCACCCTCACACGCAGAAAGGTGGAGAATCTCCAAGCCGTATAACACCTTTACCTCTGAGGGGGATCAGCTGACCTTGGCATCAGGCTTGCCACAAGAGACACCTGCGGCAGTACTGTCTCCAGCAGCACCGGTCTTGATATTACAGTATCAGATGAGCGTATTTCTATCAGCTGGTTGCCTTGTTTCTGTGTTAAGTTTATCCTTATACATTATTTGTATGGGCGCAGCCTCTCTGGGTGGTCCTTGAAGCCTAGCAGCACTAATACCCAAAGTTTTTGCCTTGCCAGTTAAAGCCCAGTATTGATTTCTCACCCTGGCAAATATTTTTCAACCACTCTTCTACACTGCAATGATCATAATTTACACGTGTCATACCACAGTGTCTCTAATATTATTTGATAATTTCTCATGTCTAGATACACACTTGTACCTAGCTAAATTGTCTCTGTGAAGACTAATGATTAGACACTCAGGCCCCCCAGGTTTGGCG